ACCATGAGTGGGATCTACTTATGAAACATCATCCACTGAGAACCCTGTGGGCACAGTTCTACTCTGACACACACGGGGCACCATGAGTGGGATCTACTTATAAAAAATCATCCACTGAGAACCCTGTGGAGCACAGCTCTACTCTGACACACACGGGGCACCATGAGTGGGATCTACTTATGAAAACCATCCACTGAGAACCCTGTGGGGCACAGTTCTACTCTGACACACACGGGGCACCATGAGTGGGATCTACTTATGAAACATCATCCACTGAGAACCCTGTGGGCACAGTTCTACTCTGACACACACACACACGGGGCACCATGAGTGGGATCTACTTATGAAACATCATCCACTGAGAACCCTGTGGGCACAGTTCTACTCTGACACACACGGGACACCATGAGTGGGATCTACTTATGAAAACCATCCACTGAGAACCCTGTGGGGCACAGTTCTCCTCTGACACACACGGGGCACCATGAGTGGAATCTACTTATGAAATACCATCCACTGAGAACCCTGTGAGCACAGTTCTACTCTGACACACACGGGACACCATGAGTGGAATCTACTTATGAAATACCATCCACTGAGAACCCTGTGAGCACAGTTCTACTCTGACACACACAGGGTACCATGAGTGGAATCTACTTATGAAACATCATCCACTGAGAACCCTGTGGAGCACAGTTCTACTCTGACACACATGGGACACCATGAGTAGAATCTACTTATGAAACATCATCCACTGAGAACCCTGTGGGCACAGTTCTACTCTGACACACATGAGTCCCCAAGAGTCAGGATGGACTTGACAAGTGGTTTGGTTCTTTGTTTGTTAAACATACTGTGACCAACATTTTAAAATCAGATTTCTTATTAATTTAGCAAAAAATGGGTTTAATATGGATGGCAATGTGAAATGTCTTTGTTTATGAAGGATCCCTGGTATCACAGTGAGGTAAGCACTAGCTGAAAGGTCAGCAGTTAGAAACCACCAGTCGCTCTGCGGGATAAAGATGAAACTGTCCGCTTCCATAAAGAGTTACAATCTCAGAAACCCTAAAGAGCAATTTCACTCTGTCCTGTAGGCTCATTAGACTCCTGGTGTGGAGCTGTAGGATCAGCTCTGGTCAGCTGTTCAAACCCACCAACTGCTCTTCAGAAACCCTACACAGGGTCGCAATGAGTCAGAACTGACGCAACGGCACATACAACATAAGGTCACTGGAGTCCTGGTGTGCCGCTGTAGGATAAGCACTGGACTGAAAGGTCAGTTTGAATGACAATGTCAGTGGTTCAAATTCACCAGACGCTCCTCGGAAACCCTAAACAGGGTCTCTATGAATCAGAAAGAACTTGAAAGCACCTAATAACATAGAGTCGTTGTGAGTTGGAATAGACATTATGGGAGTGGATTTTAGGGCTTTAGGACCTTCAATCTTATACATTATGCACAACTGATCATCTGAAAGGTTTGACAACTTCCCGTTAAGGATATTTACAAACTGAAAGAGCATAATCTATCTGATACTTTAGATTCCTTGGTAATTCATCATTTCTGGTTTGATTAGGTCTAAGAGTTGGGGTTTCACTTTCAGGATTCAAATAATGACGGTTCTTTCAGCTAGCAGTCTTTTGGGTCTTGGTTTTGTTATCCCTGCAAACAACTAACCACTCAGCTGCTAACTAAAAGGTTGGGAGTTCAAATCCAACTAGACACACGTTAGAAGAAAGACCTAGCCATTTCCTTCTCAAAAATCATCCACTGAGAACCCTGTGAGCACAGTTCTACTCTGACACACACGGGGCACCATGAGTGGGATCTACTTATGAAAACTCATCCACTGAGAACCCTGTGAGCACAGTTCTACTCTGACACACACGGGACACCATGAGTGGGATCTATTTATGAAACATCATCCACTAAGAACCCTGTGGGCACAGTACTACTCTGACACACACAGGGCACCATGAGTGGGATCTACTTATGAAACATCATCCACTAAGAACCCTGTGGGCACAGTTCTACTCTGACACACATGGGGCACCATGAGTGGAATCTACTTATGAAACATCATCCACTGAGAATCCTGTGGGGCACAGTTCTACTCTGACACACACAGGGACACCATGAGTGGGATCTACTTATGAAAAATCATCCACTGAGAACCCTGTGAGCACAGTTCTACTCTGACACACACGGGGACACCATGAGT